ATTTGATAGTTTTCATATTCATTCATATCTAAAGAAAATATTAAAAAGGAATTACTTATCCTGTCACTAGCGTAGTGTATCACTAATGCAGTGCTCTAATATATTTTTATTAACGTACATTTCCATGAAATGTAACTTATCAGAAATTGAAGATGTGATTAAATATTTCAAGTTTTGTGTGCTTTCCAAACATGATTATGTCTAACTATTTGGTAAGTATGCAAAATAGTATGCTAAATATAGTGAATTCATGACATGTTCGAAGAGGAATATATATTTTTTTTGTTGATGTTGTTTAAACAGAGATTTCAAGGATCCAATTTTTATTTAGGATTCATTTAACCTATCAATTAGTGTAGAGTAAACCAACCAGTGAAGGAACTCCACCCAGTGAAGGAACATTTCATATATATTTATTAAAAATAAGAATTTGAAAGTTTTTCTTTAGATTGATTGGTAACAATAGCTTACTGCCAAACAATAGGAAGTCATCTAGCAATGTTTTGGATTAACTGGTCAAATAGACTTCTCTGGAAAATTTTCTGAATTTGTTATTATCTCTGCAACACCTTGTTTCTTTGAAAAAATTATAAGGTGAGTGTTTGTATTTATATGTTTAAAGTGGAATCAATTGCATGTAATAATTTTATTTTTCTCACTGTGCAAAAGAGAATTCAAAATACAGTTATTGAAGCAGTTATTAAGCATCATAGCATAATAAAGTACTGAGATAAGGGGGTGTTTATTCACTGGATCACCAAACGATGAAAAACCAGTGAAGGAACTTTACTGGGTTTTTTTCTAAGTTAATGAAAATAAAAGATAAACTTCAATTTTCTTGCACTTTTAGTGATGTTCCGCATCAAAAGTATGTTAAAAATACGAAAAACAACTTCTAACCAGTGAGGGAACAGGTATGTTCCTTTACTGGGCATAGATTTCCCAGTTAATGAACAGTATGTGTTAATATCTTGACACTTTAATTTTCAATTCATGATTACAAAAAAAAAGTTAACATTTTCCAAGTATTTATATGTTATAATTTCAAGAATAGGCTTGTTTTTAAATATTTGTATGGCTTATAAATTCATAAAGAGCATTAAAAAATAACCAAAATTAAGTGTTCCTTTACTGGGTGTTCATTCACTGGTAAGAGCTGTTCCTTCACTTGGTCTTCTTACTACTTGTTATTTGAACCTCCAAAACTTTAAAACAATATTATGTAAGTTCTCTACAATTTTTTTACATAATTTGCAATTAGTAACAAATATGTTGACACTGTCATCTAACTAAAATTACGAATTTTGAAATTAATATGATTTTGTAAAAGGCAAGCGAAGCTTAAGTGTTCCTTCACTGGTTAGTTTACCCTACATAGTTTATTATTCGGTTCTATTTTAAAAATACCAAACTAATAAAAGCATTACTCGACTTAACTTTTTTGTTGGGGCATTTACATATAAGTAATATTTCCATTAAATTTTTTTTCAACAAAAGCGAGTGTCAAGTATTTAGTTGAGGAAATAGCCTTTTTTTTTTTTTTGAAGTCCGATGCTTTGAAGTCATACATTCCATAAAACGGAACAGAATGAAATTTGCAGGGTACATTTGCCGCTCAAATACAACTAGCTAAACATACAAAAATTTCAAACTAAACAAATTTGGTTGAAGAGTTAGAGGACATCCAAGACTTCGTGTTCCTCAACAGGGATTTTAAAGCAAAGTAGTAAACTAGCAAAACCTGGCAACAAAGAACACAAAATGTTTTAAAGAAGGCAGGAACCACCCCTGGCTGGCATGCCAATGATGATGAATCTGAGGAGAATCTATAGATGGATTTCGTTTAAATTTGATGAAGCATAAATATGAATAATACATTTATACTAACTTTTTAAGTTAAAATAACTCGCATGCTTTATTTAAAAATTTCTAGTTTTAAAATATTACGTCTAAAAAAGTTTTAAACTAAGTTATATTTTATTTTTTAAAGTGAGTTAGTTTGTTCCTAATTGCACTCACCATCCCAAATACAGAAAAGTTTTATTTCTTATTTCGAGAAGAAATCTTTTAAACTTTACTTCAGTAACTATACACAAAATTTGAAGAAAAAAAATCTATAAATAAAGAAACATATTTATTTTCCGAGACTACTAAGAGTTGGGGTACTAGATATTTGCCTCTGACGCACTTTAACCACATCCAAAAATTTCATAGACTAGTAATATCTCGAGAAAATATATTTTTTCTTTTTACTTTTATGGTACTTGTAGAGTTTTTCTCTCTTACTTTTATAGATTCTCGAGATAAATACTCAAAAACTAAGTTTTTCAAATCCATAGAATTTGTTGCTGATTGTTCGATTATTGTTTTTATTCTATTTCTATTTTATTCTGTTCTTTATTCTATATTATTATGTCTACTATTGTTCTATTATTGTTTTAATTTATTTATTTTCACGGCTAAGAATTCGGATTTTTTGTTACACTTATTAATGACCAAGGAGCCGAGTTCAAGGGTAGATGGAAAATAAATGGAACTTTTTTACTCAAACATATTCTCAGGAATTTATATAATTAGAAAATAAATTATTCACATGTTCTAATATTTTTTAAACAAAACCTCAAAGGCGTTTCTTTATTCATCCAGTTCCTGTTTGAGTAAATATACTATTTTACAACACTAATTTTAAATGTAGCTATTTTATTTCAAATTTTAGAGATAAGATAAGATAAGGGCCGGGAGAGCATGATCCGTAGGGCGCTGGGCCCATGTCCGAGAGTTCGTGGATTCGAACCCCACCAGCCGAAGACTCCCCCTATAGTAAATGGTGACTGATGCACGTTAAATCTGTCGAGTCGCAAAGTCCTCCATGTTCCCATAACAAATCAATACCTCTGGATCGATCGTTCCCTGATTCAGGTCAAAAATTACGATCCGGGGATGAATGAATGGATGTATGAATGGGTCCGCCCTATAAATAGGTATGACGTATGGGTGCGACAGAAGTCGAATTCTTGGCCACAGATGGCGCCACTGGAAAACAAAAGCAATCGCACCCCTCTACCTAAACAGGCATAAGTCAACAACAGAGATAAGATAAAAAAAAATGTACAAGTACCGCACTTTTTTATATAGCAAAGATTTGCCTCTTGCTTAACAAATTTTATGAAATGCATGTATTGCAAATAATGCATTTTAAGAATAGCATTGAAAAATTTTATATGTTAGAACAGTTAACTCTTCTATAGATTTCGTTTAAACTCAACATGATGATTTTCATGATTTCAACATGATTCGACTCAACAATTTTCTTTTTAATTCATCATGCAAACTTTCATTTTTCCGTTTCTGGTATTATTTCATGCATCACAATACGTATTCGTGACTGATAAATTATATGAAGTCAGTACAAAAAAAAAGTGATTAATTTTTAATAACGTTTGAACTAATGATCATATTTTTACAGATCTATTTGTTTCGTTTATGGTAATAAAAGAACAGCTTGAGAGAAGTTAACTAAGTCTAGCTAATTTTAAAATGTATAAAGTAATTGGTAGCTGTTATCTAATTTCTCCGATGATACTTTTTATTGATTGCTGAATTTTAGATCATTTAGTAAATTTTAATTTGATTTGATTTTAATATTTTGATAAAAGATAATTAAGACCAATTACAATTATCTACTTATTTAAAAAATTACATTTTAACAGTTTTAATTTGAATAACACCTATCTTTTTGTTTAAGATTTGTCATATAACTTTCATGAGAGGTGTTTTATTGGCTCTTACTCACTAATGATAATAATATTGAAAAACTTCTTTATACGAATTTAACACTTTTTAATTAAGAGTTAGTTTTTCTAACTCGAATTCTGAAGATTGCTTTAAAAGCGATAAAATCAATAACTCTCAAGTGAATTTTTTACATATTTTATAAATTTTTTTTTGAAGTCTATCCATGAAGTTAAAAAAAATTAGCGACAGGTTTATGAAATAATTATAGAATTTAAATTATGCTACTTTACTTTCAAATACCATAATTTTTGCTTATCTATGCAATTAATTGATCACGCTGAAGCTTAAAAATATTCTTAAAATACTAAATACTATTCTTAAAATACTGAAATTTTAAAAGTTATCATGAACCTTTCATTTACCTGATTTACTTGTTAAAGAATATTTTTCAAAAAAAATTGTGAGAAGGAAAAAAAAATTAGTTAAATTTTCGTAAAAAAGCCACCTGAACCCGATTGAATTCACATGTAATCTAAAAATACATAAAATGTTCCGTATTTATGTATTTTTAGAATTCCTATTAAAGAGGAAGTGAAAAAAGTAAGTGTAAAAATCAAAATTTTAGTGGAATATGCAATCCAAAATAGGTAAAATCATTATCGAAAACGATGAAGAAATAAACTTTAAAGACTGCTTGATTTCTTGATGAAACTGAACACTGAAAAAAAGGCATGGTCAAAACTATCAGAATATGGTAAAATTTACCCTGTTTCTCTCTCTAATGGAACACCGAAAAGCTCGGTAATTTTTCGAGCTTTGGTAACGATTTTGGTAAAATTAACAAAAGAATATGGTTTTATAATATGGGATAAAATTTGGTAATTTTATCACGTTACCTTATAGCATGGTCTAAAAACTATCTATTTGGATAAATTTACTTTTCAGTTATGTATTTTTTACTAAATTTGTAGTAATAAGAACTATAATTTTAAAAGGCATAATTTCTTGTAAACAGTTATCATAAGAACGGAAAATTTACAAAATGAATGGTTTTAATATCATATATTCTGGCATTTATTAACAGAACTATGCTTTTTTTCAGTCTTTTTATAGACCAAACAGTTTATTAATTTGACCATAATTTTTTTTCACCTTGAAAGTAGTAAATGTGGAACATATCATGAGTTCGTTAGCGGTGGTAAAAAACACACAAGTACTAAATATGATTTCTATTCATCTTATTTTTAATAAAACAATTTATTTACCTCTCTTTCATTTTACGTTCTCTTTGTTGAAGGCATTCAATGTTCAGTCGAGATTGACTCAATTCTGATTTTAAAACATCCACTTCTCTTGTAAGAGCTGAAACTTTCCATGAATCTTGTGAAGGTACAGATGAGTGACTGCTGATCGACAATTGAGTACTGGGTGTCGGGGAATTGGACAGTTTGAACACATTACGTGAATCTACTGAAGCAATATCGATTTCGCGGCAACGTCGTGAACCTGTTAAAGTGAAATGTGATATTTTAGAATTAGCATTGCTTATTATGCAGTTACCAGAATTAGCTCTTAAGATATACAGTGGCGCTCACGTACTTAAGGACATGTCTTTATGAAAAATAAAATCCAAAACTTATTGTTCATGCATAAGTTTTTTGAATTGATTATTATGTATTGGAACAAATAACTTGTTTTTAATATATTTCCACAATTAAAATCATTTATCTAACTGTTATACTTAAATTATGTAACATTTTAGAAACAATATGCATTCCGCATACTTAAGGACAACAAAATAAATATTTCTTAATCGTTAATAAAATTAATAACAATATAAAAAATGTAACAAAAAATAAATATTTGGAGCTAGTATTTGGTCGGTAAGTCTTTTGGGGCAATTACTGCTTCACATCTACGAGGCATCGAATCTAATAATCTTTGACATCGTTCAGGAGGTATAGCTGCCCAGCCTTCTTCGATACATTTCCATAAATCACCTAAATTTTTTGGTTTTTGCTGTTTCACATTTTTATCCACATCTATCCACAGCATCTCGAACGGGTTGAGATCTGGTGATTGGGAAGGCCGCTGCAAAACCTTAATTTTCTTGCTTGACAAGAAGGCCTTCGCAGTTTTGCTCGTGTGCTTTGGATTATTATCAGCTTGCATAATTGGTTTTCTTGAGTGAAGTTTCCTGTAATAAGGCAGAAAAACAGTCTTGATAATGTCCACATACACATGCTAATCCATGATGCCTTCGATTTTGTGAATTGGACCACATCCTGAACGTGTAATGGGAACCCACACCATCACCGAGCCAATCCACCTTTTACAGTTGATTTTGTACACCGTACATTAAATTCTTCACCGACTCGACGCCTCACATAACTTTTGCCATCTGAGCCATTCTGTTGAACTTCGATTCGTCTGTAAATATAACTCGATTCCAGTCAGCCGATGTCCAGTTTCGGTGTCTTTTTGCAAAAGCTAATGGAGCTGCTATATTCTTCTTTGACATCAACGGTTGTTTCCTACATACGCGACCCATAAGCCGAAACTCATTTAAAAGCCGTTTGATGGTATTATTGCTTACGTGCTTGCCTGTTAATTCAGCGAATTCTTTTCTGATGTCCGGGGCGGTTTTGTGACGATCAGCTTCAAAAATTCGATGAATAATTCGATCTTTTCGTTCGGTAGTTTTCGGGATGTTTTTTCAATACTTTTGGTCACTTGAATAGATTTCAATACTTGGAAAACTGCTGTTTTTGATAATTTTAACCGCCTACCAATTTCTCTAAAGTTTAAACCTTCTTTTCTTAGAGTATCTATTCGACATCTCTGTTCATTGCTAACATTTTTACCTTTACTCATAATAATGTTGAATTTTGTACTAAAAAAATTTAGAAAAATATTAATATAATGTTTTAAAGCATCAGACAAAGATAATGTAGTAAATTACACTTACATTGATCGATAAATTGATTGTAATCATTCAGTAACTCATGATTAGACAAACTGTCCTTAAGTANTTATTATATTATTATTATTTATTATGTTATTATTTATAATATTATTATTTTTTTACATTATTGTTATAATTTATTATATTATTATTATTATTTATTATGTTATTATTTATTATATTATTATTTTCAAGGCCATATACAATTAGGATATGACCTAGAAAATGGTCAAAAATTTAGTTCCTTTAATGCTAGCGTCACTTTTTGGGTATTTCACCACATCTCGGGAACTTTTTAAGCAAGTCGAAAAAAGGTTTGCACTCAATTAAGAAATTCGTTTTAACAAAGATAACTCATAATAAGAAATAATTTTTGAGAATTTTATTTAAAAATGATCAGAACATTTTTATTAATTAACATTTTATTAATTTTATTTAAAATTTATTTATTTAAAAGTGATCAGAACATTTTCAAATTGTAAAGTAGAAATATTTTTATATCATTTTAAATTATGTAATTTAAAATCAGAAAATCCAAAATTTAAGCAAAATCTTTTCAACAGTTCTTTAGTTGGAATTTAAAAAAAGTTTTATTTTTTCATGAACAATTCGGCCAATTTCTCTTAAATTTTTGTTTTTGTCCCTTAAAATCACAGAGTAAAATCTTTAAAAATAAAAATATTTCACAATTCAAAAACTTTTCAACCATTATTAAATAAAATTATAGAAAGTAATAAATGAAATTATTATCTTTGGATAAACGAATTTTATAATTGTGCGTAAAAATTTAATTCAATTAAAGACTTCTTAAATTGCGAATTACGCAAAAAGTGAAACTAATATTAATGAGCTCAAACCTCCAACCACTCTCCTGAGTTAATCCATTGAGTCATATTTTCCAAATTACAGCTACCCCTCATTTGTTGATAGTTAAGAATCCGAACTTCGTTGCAGAAAAAGGTATATGTTTACTTAGAGAATGTCTGTTCTTGAGTGATCTTCTCTCTTAATTAAGAGTTGGTGTTAGTTATTTAGCTTATTTGAAATCAACCATTTGAGTCAATAAGATTGTCAATTGATTGAATATCAGTTATTAGAATGAAATTTATTCAGGGTGATTTTTTTTCTCATTGTACAGTTCGCAGAAAGAAACAATTGAATAGCATTTGATCTATATCAACAAGGAGAAAACATCCCTGATCATGATTGATCTGTAAAAACCTTATACAGTTAAAATTCTTTTATACAGAATTCGTGTCTGATGGTGGACTTTATATCAGAAAGACAAGGAATCACAGAAAATCACTGTTTTAAAACTAAGATCATAAATAAAATTCAACTTAATATAAACTTCTTCAAGGAAAGGAATTAAATTATTGTTTTACAATGAAGACCTTGACATATTGGTATAATATGATATGTAAACGCAGATCTTCTGGCAAAAAGCGGAACAACTATGCCCCAAGCAATAGCAATCATTACACCTAACACACTTTAAAAATATGTAATTAATAAATTTAGCGAAATAAATAATTGCAAGTTGTTTATAAAATCAAAAGGCGAATTATGGGAAAACATTCAAGACAGTTGAAAATCTCTTCGTAACCAACTCCGTAAAGAAGCAGTGGCTAATTTCAAGTTCCAAGCATGACTGCTTATCAGAATATTTATACAATATAAAAACTCTCTCCACCAAAGCATGCCCAATTTGTAACACAGGTAACTTGAATTTTGATCACCTCTTACTGTGCAAGGAACTAGATAAAAACTCCCAGGAGAGCACGGATGTAACCTAATTAAATTAGGGGAGCCGACAGGACTGTGTTAGGGTCAGGGAACTGGACATGCATTGAAAAGGTTCTGGGTTCCAATCCAGGACAAGGCATGGATGTTCTTTCATTCTCTGTACTATCTGTTCTTAATGTGGGAGCCACGCTGGCCCACCTAATATGTGCCCCTGAAAGAGTGGCCAACAAATCTGTCCTGTAAAATACCTGAATTGACGAAATGTTAGCACTGGTGGGCATTGGAAATAAAAACAAAAATATTGGGAGGTAAGAATTTACGTGAAATATCATTAATTGAAGACCTTAACTTGTTCTTTTCAATTTATTGTTTCAAATATTTTTATTGGTCTAAATGTTTATTGTTCATTTCATCTAATTTGTTGAATTGTTAAATTTTTATAGTTTCTTTGTTTTGTTATCTTGTGATGCAGTGAATTGTCAAATTTATATGGATTGATTTTATAATTAAGCCTTATGAAACACGTTAAGCCTGATAGCATATTTTCAGTTTCTTATCTACGCACATTTATTATGTAATATTTGCTAGGAAAAACAAATTTAACTCTGCTTTTTGAACTCGCACAAATGAACAATTTACAATTTCAGAAACAGATACTATTCATTTTTTTATAACATGCAAGTTGTATGGTGACAAGTGTTATCATGTAATTGAGTGATAAATAGTTTATCATTCAAAAATAAATAGTTTATGATGAACAATATTTAATTGCAAGTAAATCTAATATTTAATTAGTAAATATTAGTTCCTTCTTCGAAGTTATTTTCCTAGAAAATAAGCATTAATCAGTTTTTAAATTCAGCACATCTTAAAAAAAATAGTTTTTCGTACAATTTTTAGAACATACTCTGATTAAAGAATAAATAGTTTCATTAAATTACAAAATTTTTCTTTATCTTATTTATGCAAATATTTTATTTTGCCTAATCCGGGTGTAGGGATTTCAAATTTTAAAACTGTTCAATTTCAAATTTATATAACTTTTTTAGTCTAATTTTTGTCGAAATGTAGACGTTTAAAAACTTTATATACAACAGGGGACGAGTTGATTTTGCAACTAACTTCTATGGGAGCTAGGGCACATCAACAGGATTAAAAGTGGTTAAGAATCCATGCCCGAAAATGGCATTTTAAGCGGCTAGAGACTCTTCCCTATTATGAAATGTTCCGAAGTACACGAAGAAACATTTCATAATAAGGAAGCTCTCCTAGCGGCGTATAATGACATTTCCAGACACGAGTTCCTCTACAATCTTAATCCTGATGATGTGCCCAAACTCCCCAAGAAGTTTGTCGCAACATTTGTGTTATTCCTTTTTAGAAATAACGTTTTTAAAATTGTACATTTCGACGAAAAATAGACTAAAAATGTCATATACAGTTGCTTAGAGTGAGATTTAATATGCTGTGGTATAATAACATTAAGATGGTATAATAAGATAAGTCTTCAATAAGATTTACATAAGGATAACTCTCTGATCAGCGATTACTAAAGAGTGACAGCTTGTTTTAACACTATTCAAAATTTCTCGGAGCAAATGGTTAAAAAAACACTTTATTTTATTGTTATTTTATCATATTCAATTAAAACAGTCAAATAACCATAAAAAGATGGTATTTAAACTTTACATTGTGAAAAAAAAATTGTAAACAACAAAAATTTTATCCACTCCAACTAGACCCACAGCCAACTAGAATCGAGCAGACGTTTTTCGATTGCTGGAAGCTAAACCATGTGATAAGGATTGCGAATACATATTTTTATTTTTCATCATCGGAAGTCTAACACAACAGCGCATGCCTAATAGTCTTATAATTATAAAAGTAGGATGAACACCTTATGATGTCATTTAGCTTCATGCAACTGGGTACGTACTTTAGGCGAAAGGGCTAATCTGTCAATCTCATGACCGTCTGAACGGGGATTCGAGGCCCAGTGTTGACAACCCAATATTTCCTCCATTCCTTCAACACATAATTCATTTTCAGTGTCCCTCACTTCTCAATTAGTGACCTTGAACTATTAGAGTACGAAACTTTCATTTCCGCATAGATGGCAGGACCACATCACTGCTTAACCCGAAAAAAGCTCAGTATTTCTCACTTCTCGCGATAGATGGCTCCACTAGATATACCAGTTAATCTCTGGTTCACTTTACAAAATTCAACCACAATGTAACTTTAATGTCCATAACGTAAGGAAAGTCCTAACAGAACCTAACTTGAATGCTTAGTTAAATTTTATCTTTGCGGTTTTCTAACCATGCTGATTGTAAATGGTTACAAAACCGTAAAATTTTGTATTTACGGTTTCTTAACTATAACAGTTGTAAACCGTTTCAAACTCATATAGGTAAAAAAATATTTCTAACCTTAAATTTTACGGTCAATTGCTTATACAGATTGCTGGGGTTATTTTACCGTCATTTTATAATGAAAATTCTGACAGTATAGCAAGAATTTTACATCGGGATGTCAAATTTTTTGACGTTTTCGCTTCTAACTTACGATAATTTCAGTTGAGAATCTGTAGGCGAACTTATTGAATATTTAAATATCTTGGATGCAGTAAAATGGGTTAACAAAAAATAATAATAATAAATAAATAAATAAAACTGTACTTTACACCAAATTTATGTTCCACTGCACAAAAACCAAAGATGGTTTCCGGTGCAGTGAGCATCGACTTGGTGAACAGTAGATGCCTCCATGTTTGTTATTCAGCAGCACTAAAATTTATAGTTATATATAGTACAAATAGCTTGGAATGCGCTCAGCTGAGAAACTCGTTTATTTGAAGTTTAAAAGTAAGCAGAAAATTTTTAAGGCGAAAATCTTAATCGAAATAATATTAATAATTAATCATAACCTTTTTAAACCGTAACATTAGCAAATTTTATCAGCCTTTATTGCTATGAAATTTTAAATATAAAAAATAACGAAATCAATTGAATAGTTTCTGAGACATAAAACTTTAAAAATAAGGTAATTTAATTTTCTTTTAAAGAAAATCTGTTCTACAAATTCTGTTCAAATTATATTTTTTTATTTGAAATACAATAATTTAATATGCTTCAAAAAGTTCAATTCAAGAAGTGTTTGATCGTCATTATTAAATCAAGTATTAGAATATAATAAATTGTAATAAAAAACTTTCTTTGCTGTGGACTTTTTTTTGATTGACCAACTTACATCATTTTGTGTAAATAATTTCTGACTCAAGGTAAATTATTCCAGAGATAAGCAAAAACTGAAACTCACACTGTCGCTTTATTGACTAAACAACTGGGACCGTATTTTTCAAATTGCAATCGTATATTATATCTAATTTTTACTACCAAAAATTCAAATCCAACCATTCAAATCCATATTTATGTTTAGAAAATGTTTTTTTGTGTTTGACTTCGTAACTTTATTTAACGTCTACACGAATAAATTACCATGTTTAAAATTCACTTCTTAAACCATAGAGATTGCAAGTTTGTAGGGAAAAACCGACCATTCACAGTTTCAAATTTAAAAGAGATTCACAGTTTCTGTTTTTTTTCCTCATCGCGCAACTTCTTTCAGAAATGAAAATAAAAGTTTCGAGATTGCAAAGACGCTCAAAATGATAAATTTGGTACAACAAAATGCAAGAAAAATTTTCTTCAAATTTGAATTGTTATTTAATATAATCAAAAGATAAGCAGTAAAACAAGAATGACTTTTAAAAGGCGGAGAAGCAAAGTGAATGCAATGAAATAAGTGGTTTCCAATGCCTTTTCTTAGACAAACAAAACGTTTGCAAACAATTTCTGTCCAAAACTTAAATTTCTTTAGAGAGCCATTTATATTTCACTATTATGGAGTATATATTATGGATACGGCATCATCTATGAAGCTAGTAAGATTAAGTCACATATATACTGCATGAAAATATCTGCCTCAAAATTGAAAACACATATTAAATCCATACATATTGAAAAAACATTTTTACTCTTAGTTGTATTTTGTTTAAATTTTTTGGCTACAGACTTGCGTTTGCCTATCATTAGACATCAGCATTTTATTGCATTTAGTAGTCAGCCAAAATTGCTGCACTCTGAAACTGAAGAAGATTTTCAGAAACTGATGGAACACCAGGATACTTTACACTTGTTCGAGTTTTGTAACTATTACAATTGAAGTCTGAAGCTAGAATTTAAAATTTTTACAGACGAAGAAAATATTGTATGGCGTTGCATGAAGAAGTAATAAAAACTTGGTTTAAAAAAATCGCTGAACCGTATTCCATGAAAATTAATTTTTACCAATGCCTTCAAAACCTTACGCGCTACCGTGGTGGCTCAGGGGATAGAGTGCTTGTCTTTTAATTAGGTAACCCGGGTTCGAGTCCCAGTTGGCTGCTTGATAAGTATTCTGCTCCCGGCTCGTACCGACCACAGGACAAAAAGTCTCCTCAGTGGTAAACGGATCATGGGTCTGAGTCCCCATGCCATCAGGCTAACCATGGAAAACTTTTGTGGTTTTCCTCTCCATGTTTCGCAAATGCGAGTTAGTTTCCTCAAAAAGTCCTCCGCAAAGGCAAATTCTCCTAATACTTAATCCAGAAATAGCAATTGTGCATATGGCTGTTCTTTTGTAGGGAACTGTGAGTGGAGAGACTTTTTATTAGAAATGCTTAGTTAAAGTTTTAGAAAGTATTTTAGACATTCTTCAACTAAATGGCGATACAACAAATATGGCGGCCATTCGATCGTTCAATTACTAGTATTTATGTTTATACTTGACGAGTTTGTATAAAAACTGAGTAAGTATGCTATAGTTACTATTTGAAAGTTCAATAACAGTGTGTAGGTGCAGAAAAATTCTGCGACTCTGATAGCCGGGGAGTCTAAAGGGTCTAAGCTTGTGCTTAAAATTTCAGCATTAACATGACATTTATATTTAAACTGTATGGAGAATGAGTACCCTGGAAATGATACGCAATTATAGAAAAAATTTTGTTCGAAAATATTATTATATAGCATGGTTTTTTACAAATATTAACCAGTTCAATGTTAATAGTATTTTTAAAAACAATTTAAGAAAATGTAGGATTTACAGAGCAATTTTGTAAACTTATTATTATTTTTTTTTTAAAGATCTCGTAATGTTAGTAAATTTCCCAATCTATCCTTTGTAACTTAAAAGATTGAAACGTGCGTCATTATATTCCAACATTCCATTGCTGTTTTTGTAAAACGTTACAGCTCAAATGCTTTTAAACTTGTCACTTGTAAAAGATATCGTCTAACTGATAGAGTAAACGAANCAATGTTAATAGTATTTTTAAAAACAATTTAAGAAAATGTAGGATTTACAGAGCAATTTTGTAAACTTATTATTATTTTTTTTTTAAAGATCTCGTAATGTTAGTAAATTTCCCAATCTATCCTTTGTAACTTAAAAGATTGAAACGTGTGTCATTATATCCCAACATTCCATTGCTGTTTTGTTGCATCTCAAATGCATTTAAACTTGTCACTTGAGAAAGATATTGTCTGACTGATAGAGTAAACGAAATAAATAAATTGAAAGCATGATGACCAATAAATATATAATACTTCATATCTGAAACACATTTTGTAATCTAATTAAAACGCAGTTACCACACAAATATGTAATTTTTTTATAACTATATCAACGTTTTGCACAAGAGGAAAATTTCTTCTTTAATGAAATGTTTCTAAACCAACAATTCTTAATCACGTGTAATGGGAATATTATTTCAGAAGAATGTATTTTTATTCTTTGTCTTTTTATTAAATTCATTTTGTCAATAGCTGAATAATTATATTTTTATTCAAATAACTTACTTTAAAAAATGAATTAAACATTTTCAGTATTAATTTTAAAACATTTCATTTCATTGTCACTAAAAATCTATTCAATGTAGCTTAAAGATCTCCAAAAATTAATTAACTTTATAAATACTGACTAGTTAAAAAATAATGATGATAATAATAAATTACACACCTTCTGATGAATTATCATAGTGTTTTTTCAGCGTACTTTTTGTTGAACTCAGGGAACTACCACCCGTTAAGGAATGATCGCTGCTACTGCCACTGCTTCGATTGCCTCGATTACGATTCCCAAAACGAACTGGAATAAAGAAATTAATCTTATTTAACGAGGTATTATAAAAAATATATAAATACACAAATTCATTTAAGCAATTTGTATAAAAATATAAAAATTGTTTATGCCAATATCGTCAGAAATTTTATGCGTTTAATCTTTTGACAAGATAGTCCCAAAAACTTCCCAGCACCAGAATGGCGCCATCGTTTTATCGAATCAAAATCTCTAAATTTTATCACTTGAATGACGTTTCATTAAGATAAGAATATCCTTGCAACCACATCCCTTTCAGAATCTCCCTTTAAATATCGGGACAGCCAAAAATGCGTGGCTTTTTGATATTTGCATGGCTAGATAAATCTGGGCCAAATCCAAACATCCCTGTAATGGAAATCCCATCAATGTAAATAGCAAACGAACACTGTTTTAAATGACTTAAGATCCATTAATAAAATGCCTTTTTAAATGAATTAGCCTAAGTCTCTTCAACTATCTAGCATCTAAAGGCATATTTTATAAATATATATATATATATATATAAACCTCCCTTTCTCGAATTTCTAATAATAGAGCACAAATGTCCAAACAACATAACTTCCTTTATCAGTAGAACTGGCAGATGGAGATGAATTTCGTGAACCCACAGGAAGTAGAGATGAAGAGGTTGGGGGGTGTTTCTTGGAATTTCTATCACTGTGACAGCACTTCCTCAACTTAAAAATAATACAATGATTCTGGCAGTAAGTAAGGGGTTGATGAGTAGGACGGAGTGACCACCGGGGGTTAGCTTTCAAGCATAGAAAGATAAAATTCTGTTTCACCTCAAAATTGCAACCAATAGATCAAAGGATAATTAGGAGTCTTGGAATGTATGATTGTGTCCTATTATAATGTGTCCTGTGAGATTTGAGATAAACAGGTCCGTTTGTATATATATATATTCTAAGCTGTTAGTGTCACATCTGGAAGAATATGTGAAGAAAATATTTTAAGAGGACATGCAAAAAAAAATTACCTTATACGTGAACGAAGTCATTAACATAAAATTACAAGCTAAAAGGCAAACTAAAATATCCCCTTAAGAAAGCAATAAAGGAGCTAAAAAGAGGAAAACTATCAAAAAGAAATTAAAGTGGAAGCATTTACATACATGGCAGTATCATCAGGGAGTGATATCATGCAGTCAGTAAGTGAGCAGTTTCAACGATTGGCAGTGCAATACTGCAAACAATCTTACCCCCTACTGCTCCAAGAAAAGCAAACCAAACAGAAAGTCAGACAAAGATTAAATACCGTAATCTCCAAAGTCAAAGTGGAAGTGCATAAAATTAGCAGATGGAAAACAGAATTTAGTCAGTTGAAGTTTCGAGCTCCAAAAAGCATATATTGCTGATTCTTTCATCCATATTTCATTGAGTCATTGATTTGCGTTTAGTATAATTCAGTATGAATCTCTGATTCATACTGAATTATATTTCTCATGAGTTTCCACGTGACGAGAATGACATATCTCTGATGATGTTTCCTGCTAATTGGTTTACTGGTTCGTTGAATATTTTGTCAGCTATTTTAAAACGCTTTTTTGATTTATTCACATTTCAAGTATCACAAAATATGTTTTAGTGTCAGAGAGTTACATAAAAAATGAAAAAGTTATATTTTGTTAACTATATCATATTTTATGAAAAAAAAAATAGAAACTTTGAAAATGTCTTGAAGACAAATTGAGAAATATCAAGTATTAAAAAATATTTTTATTGATAATTCCTTTATAGATGTTTAAGATTTGAAAAATCTCTTCTTACTCATTAATCGATTTAACAAATATAATATTTTATTTGTTTTAGTGTGACACGAAATTGAGGTGAACAATATAAATCGAAAATAATATTGGAAGTAAACATTATTTTTGTCACTTATTGATTTTTCGCAAAACAATTCATTTAAGCGTTAAGTCTATTTGTTGACCCACTTCTTTAGAATTACTTAAGATTTGAAAAGTGCTTGGTTAAATTGCCCGTATGATTCCGAAGTATTACTATCGCAAGATTACATTTACTAAAGTGAGAAGTAATGTTCTGTATGAAATAGCTACTCAGTTATAGTACACTTAAAGAGAAATACAATTTGTATCACTTTGTATTATAAAATTAAATTGAATGAACATTTTTACGAGCAATTTAGTGGTAAATTCTAGAGTGAATTGAATGAATTTATGTCTAGTTTAAAATGTCCTACTTATTTTTCAAAAGTAAGATACTAAATTATTAGTTATAATTATTTATTATTGAGTTGTGTTATCATATATAATTGAATTTGATATGAGATTATTAGCGCCTCTTATTTCAAATACTCTTATGCAATTTGTTGACAATAACAGCAATGAATATTTAATTTGCAAAAAGTTGCACAGTAATCTCTCTCTCTCTTTTTCTATCTATCTATCTATATATGCACCGAAGAGCCATTACATTATGACCACCCTCCATCTATAACAATGGGCTCGTTCAGGTTTTCATGGTTTCTCGTCCAGGAACAATGTTTTCATGGGCCACATTAGGACCCATAATCCTCATAGAACAATCCCTGACGTCTGTAAGCTACTTGAACATAGTTGCAGACCAGGTTCACCCATTCATGGCAACAGTTTTTCCTGCGGGGGATGTTGTTTACCAACATGATAAAACACCATGTCATAAGGGTCGAATCGTCATGGATTGGTTCGAGGAACACTCCAGTGATTTTCAAGTCATGTCTTGGCCCCCAAACTCACCTGACCTTAATCCAATATAGCATTTGTGGTCCTACTTGGTAAACCAAATTCGTGCTGCCATGCTACCTCCTCGCAATGTGAGGGAATTGCAGGACCAGTTGGTGAGCGCCTCGTACCAGATACCTCAGACTACCTATCAGCACCTTGTGGAATCAATCCCACGGTGGGTGCTAGCAGTTTTGAGGGCTAAAGGTGGCCCTACATGTTATTAGCAGGGAGGTCAGAATGTATTGGCTCTTCGGTGTATATATATATATGTATGACANTTTAATTAATCTATTTTTAGTTTGCTCACACCAAATTTTATATATTTAAAAGCGATTAGACTAGGAAAATTTTTGTGTCCTGACTATTTACCGGATTTTTTTATTACCAAATAAGTATTCCTTCTCATTTCACGATATAAATAATGTTTTTAATTCAACTGAAATCTGATCACTTGGCGAAAAGTTATACATGCGTCCTGCTCTTTATTTCGTTGTGTAATTTACAATTTATTTCTAGATATTCAGCTATGAGATTTTTTGTGCCTTGGCTCTTTAGCAAATTAAATATGCAATGGACCATCTTAATGAAATCAGATATATAACATAATGATGACATAAATAAAGTTTTTAATTCTACATAAATTACATGTTTATATTGTTAATCAGAACATTTTTTTCACCAACATAATATCATTATTAAATGTTCTGTTAATATGAATGCTATGTTAATAAATAAATAATGTTGATAATTTAATAATGCTGATAATTTAGTAATGAGATAAAGAAAGTACTATTGATGCTTTGAAATTTATTGAACTTAATAAAATTGTTTTAAAATTAATATTGAAAAATTAACCAAAGATTGTATATAGTATAATATGTGAAGAATAGTAATATATAATTATATGTCTAATTTAGAAACTTAAAATACAAATTTGTAAACAAATTTTTCTTTCAAATTAGCATACAGTAAGAATTGTTTTTCTAATAATAAGTTATTATTAGCTAGTTAGTGTATTAAAACGCCTGCTATTTTAAAAAACAGCATTAGAATCTTATTTCGAAACACTGTTTATGAAAAAAAGAGAGAAAAAAAGCATTATAATGACTACTTTAATGTTATTGATTTATTTTTCTTTTGTGTCAGCTTAAATACAGATTTTTATATTTTTAATTTAAAATGATTATTTTAATAAGTATTTTATTGAGAGAGAAGTAGTTTTTTTTTATTTAATATTAAAGACCTTACCTTTTCAGTTTTCGAAAATTCACCTTAATTAATAGCATGTATTACAATTCGAGAGTTTGTCTAAGTTCGCATTTCAAATTTTTTCTTAATTTTCCGAGTCCGGAATTAATTTTTTATCATAGCTTAGAGATCTGAAAAGGATGTTTTTCAAAAAGATTTTAAGTATCTGTGTCAAATTTATTCTATCGTAAAATAACGCGAAAATAACCATGTATAACATTTTAAAAATAGCATTCTTTTATTTATATAAAAAAAAACTTCAACGTAGCATTCGGTAATTAATAATTGCAAAAAAATCTCATTCGCATTAAAAAAAAATTTCAAAGTCACCAAAATTTTTAAAGAAAATGAAATGCTTTTTTTTTTTTTTTTTTTTTTTTTTAAATTTTTTAATGATTCCACTTGTTTCCATAAATATGCATATGAACCACTTTAAGAGTTTGTTTGATTAGTGTTTCATCATCATTTACATATCCTTATTTATTTTCATTCAAGAAATTTCTTGTCATTTATTATCATTCATTTAGAAAATAAAAATGTATAGCTTTTAGAAAGTTTTTTAGTTGACTAGTATAAGTATTTTTATTTTGAAAGACTGCACCCACATTCAATTTCAAGAAATCCGCCATCTAGTTTGAGAAAAGAACTGCATGTTAGCAGACGATAATTAATAATTCCATAAATATTGGTGCTAATATTTTTTTCAATGCAGATGATTTTTTTCAGGAAAAAAAACTTAAATCAAAAATGTGTGAAAATCATTGTGTAAGAAATTATTATATTTCCTTAGAAAGCACTATATATCATAAAGTTATAGTTTTATTGAACCCAATAAAACGGGTTTGAGAATCTTTAAACCATTAAGCAACGCACATATATAAACAACACGTACATGCACTAAAAAGAAACTGAATAAGATCTGATGATCATAGAGGTGTTTTAATACTGAAAAGGATGAAGCCGTAAACATTTTGTGTTATATATAATATATGAAAGAGAAGATAACAAAAGCGTTTGAAAATAGGATGCTAGTAAAAAATGCTTTTTGACGACGGTAAAGTTAAATTGAAAATTCACAAAAAGGATAAAAAGTTTTACCTTTCAAGTATAAAGCTATGATGATAGCAGGAAGAGTTACATTTTTTAGGTTTAAAACGGATAGATTTCAAATGAAATTTAAATAAAAATCTTTTCGACTTCAATTTTGATTTGTCTTGTTTTTCTAATTATGGCAACGAAATTATTTCATCAATAAGCTGTATTAAGAAATTAAAGTAGTTTCATAAATTAGGTGAAAAATCAGATAAGTATATGAAGCACTATGTTCTTTTTTACTGAAAACCTATTGTTTTCTATTTATTCTTTGTTTTTAATATAATTAATAGTCTTTTATGCAAAATAATTTACGATGTTTCATGTTTATTTTATTTTATAACCGTCGTTGAACAGTCGACCTAATTTTTGGGGGGTTTATGACTACTAATGCTCAACTCCGTAGCCTTGTAATTTTGAACTCAGTCCAGAAGACAAGGGAACTCCTGGATCAAGTATTGGAAGAAATGTGCCTCTTTTGATTGGACTAACCCGCATTTGCGTTACATGGAGAAGAAAACCTTGAAAACCTCCCATGGTTAGCCTGGCGTCAAGGGGACTCTAGCCCATGATCCGTCTGAGGATATTTCACGTCACAACTGTGGTCTGTGCAAGCCAGATACGGAATTCGTATCGATCAGCCATCTCTGGTATTCGAACCCGGTTCACCTCATTGGAATGCGAACGCTCTATCCCCTGAGTATATCACGGCTCATGTTTTACATTCAGTAAAAAAACAGGTTAAGCAATTATATATAGTAGAGAATTTTTCTTTATTGCAAAAGCACTTGATTCTACATCATTGGCTATCATGCACACCGAATGCAAAAGGTTGGAGTCGTAAAAAATTACAAAAAAATAAATTAGTAATAAACTTTATAACAAGAACAATAAATTCATTAAAACCTAAACAATACTACATTAAAAACCAAAGA